ATGATATTTCTTTGGATACCCCACTGTGGAGTAGGTAATATGGTATTATGCCCTTTGTTTAATGTAATTACTTCATACAAATTCTAACATTTTATATCAGTGCAACCTTAATGAGGCATAAACAATAACAACAGTTAACATTTACTGAGTACTTATCATGTGCCAAACATGGTACTCAGCACTTCATGTGCATTATCTTGTTTAATCCTCATGATGGCTTCACAGGAGGACACTATTACCACTTTCTTTTGAAGAGCAGTATACCGCAACTCAGAGAAATGAAGTAATTGGTGTAAGATCATGCAGCTGGAAGTAGTAGGGATTGGATCAGAACCAGAATCTGTCTGATTTCAAAGCTCTGGTTGTTATCCACCCCATCATCCTGTCTTCCAATTCATAGCAGTAACTGGAGTGATGATGATTATTATTGGGAACTCATCAGCCTTTTCTTAATATTCTCCTTGAGACTTCAACCCCCTGGCAATTCTCACAATAGCAAATTGCTGTCCTATGGATGGAGAAAAGCAAATTCATCAGCATTTTCTCTGTACAACACCTATTCATTTTTTTTAAGGCCTACATCAAGATCTTCTGTGCGAAGTCTTTGGTCTTATATAGTTTCACCCTACTACCCAAAGTGATAACAATAAAAGTGATTAATTGCTTATTTATCTATACCAATACAGCAAACTATGTACTTACAAACTATGCACTCTAGCTGTTTATTTAAGCAAACCTTTACATTTCCATGAATCATTTCTTCTGATCCACCTGAGAAACCTGTGACCTAGGTATTTTCACTATATTCCTCTCACAGATGAAGAAACTGAACATTAGAAAGTTTGACATTTGTCCAAGGTCACAGAGCTAGTAAAAGCAGCACCTGGGATTTGAACCCGGACAGTCTGATGGAAGAATTCAGCTTTGACCCCTGTAAAACACTGCTTCTGACATATGTCATACTCATTCCCTGGGTCTGATCTTTGCAAAATCTGCTAGTTATGTGCCAGAGTTAAGGGTTTCAAACCTTTATAATCCTCACAATAATCATGGAATAGATGTTATTTTCTTATTTTACAGATTAAGACACTGAGGTTTGGGTAGCTAATGACCACATTTTCATAGAGATTAACAAGTCTTCATATTATACATAAAGATGTAGTTGTACATACATAAGTGTAGTTGTGTTAACATTTCATTAATGCCTAGATTCTTAACTTCTTCACTGGGCTGGAACTCTGTAAACAAGAATCCTGTCTAGTTTAACTCACCATGGTATTCCCAATGGCTTCCATCAAGTAATCGATCAATGGAATGCTTGATAATGGATTAATTCATAGATATTCTTTGAACACAGGGAGATGATGGCTTTTTCATTCATTTAGTACAAAAAGTGCTAACAGCTTGGCCTACCACTTAAGCATTGACATTAAGCCTTTTCTTTAAGGTCAAGGAACATAGGATCATTAAATAACATACTTTTGTCTTGTATATGAAAAGACTCACTTCTTGGAGTCTATTTCCTCACCTAATCCTGTGGCAATACTTTTATGGCCAATGAACAGTTTCTAGGCAAACTCTGCCTTTCTGGGATTTATTTGCTCTGCTGAAAAGAAAGGGTATCCTTTCTTTTCCAGGGACTAGGAAGGAGGTAGGACCCAGTAGACCCAGGTTCAGAATTTTGGTTCAGGACTGGCTCTTTGTATTTTATCTTTTCCATAACTTTTGGATGCTATTTGCTCATCAACTTTCACATTGGACTCATGTGACTCTGCGGAGGCAGTGGTTTTGAGGTTTGGAGAGTGGAAAGTTCCCTAAAGCATGAATGTATAGGAGATGATGCATTCTGTTAGCTGGATGGGAGCCTCACTCTTACGTGGAGATGTTTTACCTACAACTTCAATGGTCTGAGTCATCATAATCTCCACCCTCCACATGTTCCCTTTATTTCTCTCCAACTTCCTCAGTCATCTTAGAACTCAAAGATGATCTGATCATCATCCATGGCTCCCTATCCACCCTTGGGATAAAGTCCAGACTTTACCCTGGACTCTAAGGTTTGGCATGATTCTATTCCTGCCTTTTTTCTAATTTCATTTCCCTATTCTTACCCCTTACCCTCCGTACTTTTGTCAATTTTCTCAGTTCTTCCAACATATACATCTTGCTTGATCAGAGCTGTTTACACAAACTTGGCTCTGTCTGGGGGTGATCTATTTCCCTATTGCTACTTCTCCTTTATCTCATTAACTCTTACATGCCATTTCCTCAAGGAAGCATTCATTGACCCTAAGCTTGGGTCAGGTCCTCTGAAACACTCATCTATTGCACCTTCAGTTTCACATAGCACTGATAACATTGGAATTATTTGCTAAATCTGCCTTCCTGGCTAGATCTAAATTTCTACTAGCTCATTCATGTGGTCATAAGTCCTCAGCAAATATTAGCTGCTATCATCATCATCACCGTCATCAGCAGCATCATCGCCATCATGCAAACATACAGTACTTGGCACTTAGGAGATGCTTGGTACATACGGGGATAATAAGTGAATCATCATTTTTGACATGAAATCCTTTTAGGCTTGATGCATTACAAATTTCATACTTTTATCCTATCTCTTTTTCTTTTCCCTTAAAGATTATTTTCCCCCTTTAATTGTTATCTTAATTCTTTCAAAGTGAGATATTCTTTTTTATTATCTGTGTGAAGTTCTAATGGAAAATAACAGCATACTACTCAGCAGTCACAGAATAATAGAATTGGAAAAGTGATCTAAGAAGCGATTGATGCAACCCAGTGGGCCAGCGTAGTCTGCCCTGTGTGTAATTCAGCCAGCCAGGGATGTCAGAAAGCCTGCATCAAGGAAGGAGGATAAATGTATACAAAGAGCTAAAGCATTTGAGCTGTATTACAACCATCACCAGGAAGTCCCAGAGAGAAAAGTATTCTTTAAAGTTTCAGCTGAATACTTTACCAGCTCTTCCAATTCTGTTTATATTTGCATCAACCTCTTTGAGCCTTGGGGAAATATCTAAGGTTAAACTATCTATTTGTATGTGAATTGTTCAGTATTAATGAAATGCTGAACTCTACCTAGAGCACACGAAGAACAATCAGACATGCATTTCCCAGAAAGCAGGGAAGAAGCTCAAAACAAATGGAAATAAACTTAGGAAAGAAACCACTATGATCAAAGTAGGAAGGATGCCTCAGATGAAAAATAATCCCAATGCTCTAGGGTTTATTTAAGATCTATATTTGTACCTTAATGTGATTGGTACTTAAATCATACATGGAATGTAGTTACTGGACACTGTACAATGTTCTTTGGAATTGGGTGGAAAGGGTCATTTTTAGCTTGCCCAGTAGAAGGGGTGTACCAGCTCCTCCCATGATGTTATTTTATCCACTCCAAACCAACCCATGGACTATAATGTGAAGTGGTCTCAGGTTTCAGAGTGACTTTTAAATCATCTATGTACTTTAATCCACTAAAGTCTGAATCTTTTCATAATATGGTAAGATGTACAACACTGAGTTTCTTCAAAATAAAGTTTCTTAATCCTTAGGTCTAGGTTGGAGATTTTGCACGAAAGAATTCCTGGTTGATGATGCTACCATGGTTCGTGGACCAGACTTTCAATAGCAAGTTTATAATCTCACCAGAAAGTGCTGTTAAATTGGTTTGCATGTCTCTAGTGTCAAGCAAATTACTCCTCTTGAAGCGTATCTTTCACATATAAAGGATGACTTTGCGTTCCCACTCAACCAATTTATTCCATTTAAATATATAATAATAATGATAATAGTAATAAAATTAATGACAGTATTTTTGGATATTTACTGTATGATAATACATTTAAATATAACAAGATCACTACTTTTATTATTTATTGTTGCGTATGAAAAAACTGAGATTCAGGGAAATTTAGTGCATTGTTTAAAACCTGTAAAAAATAAGATTGGATTTGAACCTGTCTGACTCAAAGTCCTTACTTCCTCTTATCTAGTATTACATTCTGCATTTATAGACTTATTGTTCAAGCTTTGGTGAAATGGTAAGTATGTACCTATTTGTGCAACAATTTCATAACAATTTTGGTTATTATAGTTGTGGTCATACAATTTATATTGTAAACAAGGACACTTTTTAAAAAGAGGTCACTGTTGGTAATTATACAGGGACAACAGACACACTAGAACTGTCCCTGGCAAACAAGGGCATATCTTCCTCTTGGCTATTATTCATGCTCTGGACTTTAGAATACAGAAACATAAGGCTGAAAATGATGTTTTTGAGCCCTTCAAATGTGAGTTGTGGTTACATCTTATGCTTCATTTTTTCCATGTTATTCTTCTTCTACAGAAGTTGCTTTCTCTATCTAAAGTTAAGCAGTTTACTGCCTTTCCCTTCATTTTCTGTCTGGAGATGACCCTTTATGTTAGGTCAGCTATCTATAGTCAACAACATTCTTCAACTACAAGCTTGATTTATAGGAGCTTTGGACCTGTTCCTTCTGACAACTTGAATCACTGAATCCAGTCTATATGTAGACGATGGGTCAGCAGAATAGGGCCCATGGGCCAAATTCAGCCTGCCACCTGTTTTTGTAAATCAAGTTTTATTGAACCACAGTCGTGCCCATTCATTTGCATACTGTGTGTGGCTGCTCCTGTGCTATATCCTGTGGAGCTGAGTAGGTGCGCAAGAGACTGTCTGATTCACATAGCCTAAAATTTTTACTATCCGGCCCAAGCAGAAAATGTTTGCTGAACTTCAGTAGGACAATGTAGATATAACTATCTCCTTAACTCCCACATTTCTAGTTTTCCTCTCCATTCTACAATCCTAACATTCTTTTGAAAAGATCCACATTTGCAGGTGAATGAGCAGAGGTAGGTGTGATTAATCTCAGCAAGCCGATACTTAGGCTTTAGTATGATGACAAACCCATTTCCGTCTGCCCTGGTGTATCAATCTTCTAATAGGTCCTGACAACTATAGTCCTTTGTTTCTTTCAATGGCCAATAAGTAAAAGAAAACTCTGGCCACCAAATTTCAAGTTGAAGTGATAGTATCACATGTGGACAAATTTTAAATGCTATCCTAAGGGCAGGTGTTTTGGGGACAGCCTCTACAGACCTGAGTTTATGAGAACTGACTAATTCCATACCTACTCACTATAGTGGAGTCATTCATTCCATCTTATTTTTTGCGCTTCCCTCTATTCCTCAGCCTTTGACCCTGGCTTTTTATACCTGCCGACTCATCAAAGCTGGAATTATTTATTAATTCTATATTATGTCTTCCATCGTTTTCTTTTTTCATATTTATTTATTTATTTATCTATTTATTTATTTATTTCTTACATATATGACAATAGTGAAATGCATTACATTCATAATTATCCACTCAAAGCACAATTTTTCATAACTCTGTATATAAAGTATGTTCATGCCAAATAATGCCATTATACATGAGCTCTCTCTTTCTCTTTTTGCATTACAATTCTTAATACACCTTTATAACACAATTTATCATATCTCTGTTTACACACAAGGCATTATTTTCTTTTTTTTAAACATTATTTTTTTAGTTGTAGATGGACACAATATCTTTGCTTTATTAATTTATTTTTTTATGTGGTGCTGAGGATTGAACCCAGTGCCTCATGCATGCTAGGAAAGCACTCAACTGCTGAGCTACAACCCCAGCTCTTCCATTATTTTTTCTAACACCTTACTGGGTGTCTCCTCCATTCCAGGCACTATGCCAAGAACTTAAATTCATCACCTCGTTTAATCCTCATAACAGCTCTTTTTAGGACATACAGTCATTATCCCCATTTTAAAGATGGAGGAACTGGAGCTTGGAGTGATTAAACAACTTGCTCAAAGCCATACAACCAGAAAATAGCAGAGCAGGGAAATGAATCCAGAAACCTGAGAACTTGTACTATTAATCTCTAGTTCACTTATCTCTAATACATAACATCTCTAGTATATTGTATTTCTCCAGCACATTGTTGCCTTCAGGGAAGGTTTCTCTTTTTGAGAAACTATAGATAAGGCTTATATCCCTCAAACATAATGATCAATTTAATCCAAATGACTAAAACCAGCTTACAAAAATAAGACTAACAGCCCATACCCTTTGGGTTTTTAAATAAGATGTTTATCACAGTTTTAGAAACAACAGCAACAATGGCAACATTTGAACTGTGCTGTTTACAAAACTCATCCATGCATATTATTCCATTCACAAGGCACAAAAAGTCTGATGGCTTCTATGTTCAATTCATAAATGGTAAAAAACAAGCTAAATGGATTGGCTAAGTTTCCTAAAATAAGACATGCATCCTGTGTCCTAGGGGTTCAGATACTTGAGTTGGCTGTCTAGCAGTCCAGGCAGTAGGTGTAGGGCTGAGCCCTGCTCCTTCCTCCCTTATATACACATCCCTCCACCCCGTACACATACACATCCTTATACACATCTCCCTTACTATAGCAGTCACTTTTTATTTTTTCTACTCTACTTGGTTTTTGTTTGGGAGTTAGGGAATGAATTAGAAGGGAGATGCTAAAGTTGGGAAGCTATAAAAATCCAGGATAGTGGAAAGATGAATAACTGGAGGAGATGTTAAAGATTATTCAGTCCGTTCATTTATTTTCCACATCTTTTTTTTGGCTGTGTAAACCCAGGGTCACTACTGCTGAGCTATGTCACCCCATTCATTAATTTTATAGGTAGCAATATAAATAATTTCCATTTATTTGACTTTCCCCATGTGTCAAACATTGTGCTAACACC